GTCCCGGGCTGCGGCGGCGCGGCCGCGGGGATGAGCCGGCCATGGAGCGGCCTTGGCGGGGCGCACGGAGCCGGCCGGCGCTGCGGCGGGAGCGTCGCCTGAGCCGGGGCTCCGCGGAGCTTCGGGGCCTCGGTCGCCCGGGGGGGGTCCCTGCCGCCGCCCCTGGGAAGGACGGGAGCCCTGCGTGGCGGACCCGGCAGCAGTCGCCGTACTGAGGCGCCCCCGAGTGCTCCTCCTGCGGCTCGGTGCGCTCTCGCCACCCGCGTTTTGCCCGGGGCTCGGCGGCCGGCACAGCGGCGAGCTCGGCTGCGGGAGCCGGCTGCAGGACTGGCTCGAGAGGTGCGCGCGCGCGCGTTCGACTGGAGCTCGGAGCAGGAGCAGAACCAAGAGGACCTGAGCAGCCATGCTTCCCGGGGTGGGCGTGTTCGGCACCAGCCTCACGGCCCGTGTCATCATCCCGCTGCTGAAAGACGAGGGCTTCGCGGTGAAGGCGCTGTGGGGCCGCACGCAGGAGGAAGCGGAGGAGCTGGCCAAGGAGATGAGCGTCCCCTTCTACACTAGCCGCATCGATGAGGTGCTGCTGCACCAGGACGTGGACTTGGTGTGCATCAACCTGCCGCCTCCCCTCACCAGACAGATCGCTGTCAAAACCCTGGGTGAGCGACCCCCCGCCCTCTGTCCTTCTCTCGTTCCTTGCCGCTGCCTTTCCCTCTCCGCATGCCCCCAAAATTCATAGCCCGTACCCTGCTCCGGGGGACTGAGATTCGCAGACCCCACTGAGAGCCCCACCCTTCCTCGTCCCTGGCCTTCTCCACCTTTGCGTTTCCCCCCTCCCCCCTGTCACTACCTGGACGCGCTTCCCCACGTGCGTGACGTGGAGGCCAGAGGAGGCGTGTGTTCCTGGGATGGAGCCTCGGGCGATTAGATGCCAAGAGCAGGAGATGGGTTGTTCCGCGAGGAGAGGAAACTTAGTCGCCAGCTGTGTAGTGCCCAAGTGTATGTGTGCCTGCGCGCCTAGGAGAGGAGATCGCGCGCCCGGGAACGCCTGAATGAAGGGCCGCCCACGTGTCTCGGGTTTTCCCGGGGGCGATACAGTACCTGCTGTTGAGCAGCGGTGGTGCGCCGCTAGGGTCGTTTGCTTCTTCCTGCCGTGAGTTAGTAGAGGGTGAGATTGGAGGTGTAACCATCGGCTGGAATTATTTCGTCTGCGCTGGAGAATTATTTCGTCCCGCTGGATGGCGGGAGTGGTTGGATGGGGGAGATTTATTAGGACGTTTTCAAAGAGAGGCGTCGTGGGTTAGTAGAGATCGATTCGGCAGAACCTGAGGGATTTAACTTTTGAGTTCAGCCTTCTGGGAATCGTCTTTTGCCCTGATTTGCAGTGCTTCTTGGGTTTTTAGGGGATGATTCACCGCCCCTCCCCATCCCTTACCCCATCCAGTGCCCAGGCGGTCCAACAATCTATGAGCAGAGTATCAGAGTCTGCTCAAGGAACAGAGAAGTGCATGTTTTGTCCATCGGTAGTTCTCATACATAACTAAAACGATCCCAGGAAGATTGGTCACTCCTTACTACTGCAAAAAAAAAATTCCTAGCCCATCCTTGAAAGGTGAAGTTTCAGTGTTGAGGAAAAAGACAAAGCTGATATACGGTATATTTCTTTACAAAGTCACATTAAAGCAAAGCTAGGAGGGAGAAACTGGGAAGAAACTGGACAGCAACCAAGTAATTTATGTAGTCTTGGAAAGAACGTTTTATTTTTTTAAAAAATAGGCGTAGATTCATAGACTTTCTCTATAGAAAACCATTTTTATCAGGTCACTTGGCTACTGATGCAAATGGGACATCTGGTAGCATTTCCCAAGGCCAAGTTTGTCAGTCGTAAGGTTAATTTTATTGAGCAACTGGCCTTTGTATCTGGTTACTTTGGCCTTTAAATGAATGTCACTGAGTCTGGGCAATATTTATTTTCTGTTTGATGGAACAAATGTGTTGGGCAGATAACTTCCTTGTTTATACTGACTCTGTGCATACCAAAGAGTATAACCATCCTAAATATAATGCTACTAGGGCAATTTGTGTAAAACTGGTCACTGTCCATACTAGAATGCTTAGGACAGGTCATAACAGAAAAACCATGTTATAACATCGCTTCTTCCCTCTATGGAAGGTCAGACCCACAGAGGAAGCCTACAACAGGAGAATGACAATTTTGGAAACAAGGATGATCTTGTTTTCCGACCATCTCTGGGACTTTGGCCATGAGAGTATTTGGGGGCTCTGGTTTCCAGAGACGTGACACAAATTATTCATTTCTGTTCTTATTTTCAAAAATTCCTGTGCTTTTTTTAATTAACAAGTTATTATGAATGAGTTACCTCTTCAAAACCAAGCGTAACAGGCATAATGAACTTAGTTTAATAACTGTGACTAAGGAATAGGGTTTTGTTCATATTTTCATGATAGGCCCTGAATTATTTTATTTATTTTTATTTTTTATTTTGAGAAAGCAGGATTTATTAACAGGACAGAAAAGCTTCCACAGTGGGAGGGGACCCAAAGGGGTTGCCTTTTTTTTCCATTTTTTAAACTTCTTTTGCAGGCCATTCAAGGTAGTCTGTGGTTCTAGAAAATGTAGAGGCACTAGGTTTAAATGTGACTGGACTTTATTCTCATCCTAGTTTCATTTTCTCTGGAAAATCCCTAGAAGAGGCCATTCTTGGTTGTGCCTTCGAGTACACAGTGAGGTGGTCGTCTTGGTTTGCTTTGCGATCATGGTTGGAGGTTCAACACAGGAAGTGAAAAACCCCAAACAGTTATCAGGTTTGTCTGGCTGCTTGGGGTTTATAGATACTAGTGTTTGCCTGGAATTGAAACTAGCCACTCTGACTAGTCCTGGTGAATTGTGCTTTTAGCAAAGGCCTGGGCTTTGGACTGCTTGCCCAGTGATGGCAATAGGTCTTTGGCCCTTAAACCACACTTGTAACTAACTGATCACAGACCTGTCAGGGTGAGGGTCTGGTCTAGGAACCAGAGAGAATCAATTGAAACATACATCTTCCTTTAATTAATTTTTTTGATTAAGAGTCTCGCTCTGTCACCCAGGCTGGACTGCAGTGGCACCATCACCGCTCACCAAAGCCTCAACCTCCTGGGCTCAGATGATCCTGCTGCCTCGGCCCCCCAAGTAGCTGGGACTACAAGCATGTAGTCTTGGCTAAATATTTTTTGTAGAGATGAGGTCTCGCTATGTTGCCCAGGCTGGTTTTGAACTCCTAGGCTTAAGCAATCCTCCTGCCTCAGCCTCCCAAAGTGCTGGGATTAGAGGCATGAGGCACCACTCCCAATTAAATTTTTAAAAATTTCCTTGAAATACCTTCCTGAATAAATGAGGCATTACTCTTTTGCAGAGGCATTTCTGCCATGTAGAATTTCTACATTGTCCAAGGCTGCCTCTCATTACCTAGGTCCCAGGTAGTAGGTGCTGTGTATAAAGGGTTTCATTTCATCACTAAAATACTCATTTAAGATGGATTTTAGCCCATTTTACAAATGAGATTCAGGGACTTGAGTCAGAACAGACAGCTAAAAATTTGAACCCAACATACTACCTCCTCCAGAGTCATTCATTCCTCTTCCACCCCCGAAATCTGCTTCCCTACTGCAATTCCCCTGTCATATGATGGCAGCCCAAGTGAGATTGTAAGGGTTGTCCTTTATTCCTTCCTACCCCACCCCTGGAATCAGTTCCCAAATCTGGTTGAGGCCATCTTCTGAATCTCTCTGTGTCTCTTCCCCCTTCTGCATCATCTGTTGCTTTCCTTATAGAAGTCAGGTCTTCATCTAGTTTCTGAATTAGATTCCAGTCTACTCTTCCCACCCCTACCTCTGTCCACCTTCCACACTATTGCTGGGTATATTGGAGAACTAGAGACTGGGTGTGTCACCGTTTCCCCTTTCAAAGACTCCCATCACTTCTAGGGGAGGCCTCAACTTCTTAGCATGACAGGCAAGAGGAGGCCTGGGCTGAGCCTGCCCAGCCTCACATCCTGTGGACTATTCCGTAGCCCCACGAGCTCCTGCTGACCCACACTGCTGGTGTTTCCTTGAATGGACTCTGTTGGCTCCTACTGACACATTTATCCTACCAACATTTATTCTGCCTCCATTAGGAACCCTTTCCCTTGTGGTCTCCATCCGTGCTCGGCTTGTCCTTCGAGATGCAGCCCCAGTACTTCTGCCTCCTGGTATTCTTCCTCTTTCTCAACCCTCTCCCCCGTATACCCTCTGTGTTCTCAGCCCCATGTGGTGAGAACTGGACCCCATCTTGTCTAGTACCTATTTTAATGCATTTTTAATTTAAATTTTATTTAGTTATTGTAAAGAGCTTATATATTCATGTGGTACAAAATTCAGATGCATAGAAGTGTGCCGTGAAGAGTAAATATCCTTCAGTCCCCATCTCCTAACTGGGGGCAGTCACCACTACCAATTTTTTTTACATCTCCTGTTCAAGATTTTTCAAGGCAGATACTGGCAAGTATGTGTGTGAGAATTTAAAAAATCTTTTTGCACAATTGGCAACACCTCATTCTCACTGTTATGTGCTTTTGTCATGCAATGATATTATCTTGAAAATTTATGTATATTAAAATTGTAATAATATCTTGAACTTTTATTTGTATATTAGGTTTGTGTATATTATCTATATATTTACATATGTGCACATTTGTATATACACATATGTACATACACATACATACACATTTTGTATATCACATAAATGACTTATATCTTATGTAGAAATACACATGTATATACAAAACTCAAAATGTGGAAGTATCAATGTTCCTATTTTTGGCTGCATAGTATTTCATTAAATGAATACATCAGAATTGACTTAACTTGTTTGCTATTATTCAACATTTAGGTTGTTTCCAGTCTTTTGCTTATTCAAACATGTAATAAATAATCTTGAGCATATCATCTTGCGACGTGGCCAGTTTGTAGGATAAATGCATAAACTGCTGGTCAGACAGTATGTGCTCATTTTATTTAATGAAGATATTGCCAAATTAACTGGCATCTGAAATGACAGAGCATTTTGTCCACTTCCTTGTGTGCCTCCCTTGGCAAGTCCCTTGACTGCCAGAATGCAAGTAAGGCAAAGATGTCTTGTTCCCCTTCACGTCCAGAGTCGTGTAGGGCTCAGCTAGCATAGCTCCCAGCCAGCCTTTAACATGTCAAAACATGTCTCTAGTTTGTCCTCCCACAGCAGTCCATGCCACCTAGATGAATGCAGTAAGCTGCCCAACTCTTTGTCTTAGTTCACTCATTTGTTTATTCATTTATTTTGAGTTGGGGTCTTAGGCTGGAATGCAGTAGGACAATCATTCTCACCTCCTTGGTGAGCAGCCTTGAACTCCTGAGCTGAAGGGATCTACCATCATCAGTCTCCCTGGTGACTGGGATGATAGGTGTGTACTATTATGCCTGGCTAATTTTTTGATATTTTTTTTTTTTTTTGGTAGAGACAATGTCTTGCTATGTAGTCTAGGTTAATCTTGAACTGCTGGGCTCAGGCGATCCTCCCACTTCAGCTTGCCAAAGTGCTGGGATTACAGGTGTGAGCCATCATGCCTGGCCCACTCTTGTT